TGACGAGTACAACAGGAATGCTTCGCTTTTGAAAGACAAACGTAAATTTGCAATTGCATACTATTGGTGTCCACAACGACTCGGTAACATACTGCATTCCTTCTTCAACACGATGGTTTGGGCAATGATCCACAATCGAACTGTGCTGTGGAAATATCACGATTCTGACCAAGTCAGCAGTCAAAAACAATGCGAGGATCTGCTACAGCTAGCGCCGTGGTTTCCTTCCTTTGATGAATGGGAACAGAAACTTCCACACTTGTCGGATGTGATTCCAGTATCATTGACCAACTTTCGTGGCGAGGAAGGTCACCCGATTGTGCTGTACCCCCAAATTACAGATGTCCTGGAAGAGAGTAAAGATGTCGTACGGCATGCTTGGATCGAAGATGCATCAAATGAGCGCCATTTCAGTTATTTGAAAAGCTTGCCACGTCCGTATCAACAAATGACACGTGACCTGTACTCCGAGGGGAAGAACTTCTTGTATGGGATGTTGTACACTAAGATCTTTGAGTTACAGATTCCTAGCCAGCAATTGGTATTTGGGCAAAATACAAGCTACTCAGCAACCAATCGTGTTCCATTTAGTATTGCGGTTCACTCAAGGCATACTGTTGGCGCGGATGATGGATCTTATATCGAAGCTGAAACTAAGTGTTTGAACAAAATGATCACGCACTTGAAAGATACGGAGCAGTCTTGCAAAGTGTTCGTCATGTCTGATCGATCAAAGACGATAGATTTGCTGATCGAGTGGTTGTTTGCAAGGAACTGCACGACGATGGTCGCCAATCATACAATGGGACCAAAGATTCACGATATTGCAGAACATGGGCCATGGTCGGGAGCTGGATTTTTGTTGGATCTACAACTTGTAGGAGCAGCAGAAAGCGGAGTCGTGGGAGACCGACATCGAAGTTCGACTGCGTTGGTCATCTACCAGGTGGACTATAACCGTCGAATGAGGGCGTGTGGGCGAGCTCAAAAAACAAAACTACATGACATGCCCATCTGCAATCTGCCAAATAAACACTTGTCGGGGTACAACTACGGACCCGGGACACCAACTTTTCGCCATCATAGCCATCTAGCTCTGCTGGAACCCATTGCTGTGGTGGACACATACAAAAAGAAAGATCTGAAAAACTATGTAATTAGCAGGTTCGATTTTGAGAGGCCATCAATCAAGACCGTATATGATGCTCTGAACAGTAAGTATGAACATCGCACTCATATTGTGTTATTTTTGCTCGCTGTGGAATTGACATTGGCTGCTTTCCAAAGGTTTCCTCTTGGCAATAATGACAAATCGGTCGTTTGTTCTCCTGGATGACTGCGTGTCGCAATGCACTGACGATGGGAACGCCCTTGCGAGAAAAGCGTGGATAAACGATATTACCTTACCATTCCAAAA